TGAAAGTCAAATGGCTTTGTGTGCCATTGAGAAGGTGATTAGCTAAACCTGATTGAGTTTACTAGTCAGGCCCCGTCCACACGGAGACGCGTTTAGCTGTATACGCATACATTTTGTATCGTATAGGCGTTTCGTCCAGACGGATCCGGCGTTTTGGGAGAGTGAAACCGATATTTTTTGAAACCGGGTCCCAGAGTGGATAAATCTGAAAACGCCGCCCTTGCGTTTTCGTGTGGACAGCGAATCCGTATATTTTCTGAAACGATGACGTCATCAGCCCACGTCTCGCCCCTAGTCAGACACCGCTACGTCACGTAACGGCAACAAAAACATGAACAAACACTGAACAGTTGTCTTTTTATTAACTAACATTAACACAGATTACTAAATGTATTGTTCCATGTTCGTTTGTATACCGCGCGCAAGGTTCGTGTGCATAGTCCAAGTCTTCTCCGTTTTTAGTGTATCTCTGTGGCAGAATTACAGCGCCACATGCTGGTCTGGCATGTATACTACATCGTTTTGTGTCGGTTTCGTGGTTTCGTGTGGACGCAGATATTTCTTGAGACGAGGGGGAAAAAAAAGATTGGATAGGGAAAGCTCTGGCTTCGTGTGGACGTAGCCTTAAATATTTATTAAATATTTTACTAAATTATATTTTTATTTAAGTTGTATTGATTTAAGTCTACCTGTATTGTCAGTTGCATCACGTCCACGACTCCTTTCTGGCACTCACCACTGATGGCATCAACTTCATCATGAACAGTCAGGAGATCTGTGACATCATTAACCAATGTAACGACCCTAAAGAGGCCGCACAACGCATATCTGAGCAGGTGAGTCATATAATCCAACATCCACTATTTTTTTTAGTATACGTTCTGATTATTAATTTCAGAAACATAAAGGGCTCAATGATGGCTAATTTTACCCCAGATATTTAGATGATGCCTTTTGTCTTTTAGCTTGTAGCAGTTCCAAATAGAATAAAAAGAGAAAGTGATCAAATGAGATGAAGAACCTTTCATTTGTAAAGTGTTGTTTCATTAGGTTGTTTACCAAAAAAAACCCCTCCTGGTAATTTTGATTTCTGAACCACTGTTTGAATGTCCAGCAAAATCAACTATACTGTGATGTGTGCTATTACTATGATATAAAACTACATGCAGTTTCATTGATTCTTGTCTTTATTGTGGGTGCGTGTGGCAGGCTTAAACATGCATAAGATTTGCTTTATAACTTTATTGTTTTTTTTCCTCGTCAAACTCTTCTGTCCCTCTCAGGCTCTTCAATACGGAGCTGAAGACAACAGCACTATCATTGTGGTGCCGTTCGGTGCCTGGGGCAAACACAACAGCTCTGACGTGAGCTTCTCCTTCAGTCGCAGTTTCGTCTCAAGTGGCCGCTGGGCCTAAGCAGAAATAATAAGACAATGACGGTTTAACTGATACACAGAAGTGGCTCCCTAGTCTGAATTTACCAATGTGCAATATTCTCCTAATCCCTCCTGTGAGGATCACCTCAAAAAAGTTGTTTACAAAAAAAAACCCCTCCTGGTAATTTTGATTTCTGAACCACTGTTTGAATGTCCAGCAAATCAACTATACTGTGATGTGTGCTATTACTATGATATAAAACTACATGCAGTTTCATTGATTCTTGTCTTTATTGTGGGTGCGTGTGGCAGGTTTAAACATGCATAAGATTTGCTTTATAACTTTATTGTTTTTTTTCCTCGTCGAACTCTTCTGTCCCTCTCAGGCTCTTCAATACGGAGCTGAAGACAACAGCACTATCATTGTGGTGCCGTTCGGTGCCTGGGGCAAACACAACAGCTCTGACGTGAGCTTCTCCTTCAGTCGCAGTTTCGTCTCAAGTGGCCGCTGGGCCTAAGCAGAAATAATAAGACAATGACGGTTTAACTGATACACAGAAGTGGCTCCCTAGTCTGAATTTACCAATGTGCAATATTCTCCTAATCCCTCCTGTGAGGATCACCTCAAAAAAAGACCATTACAGCCAGAACCCACATTTAATGTGGAGTTGATATTGACTCATCAGAATGATACTATGTTGCCTAGAGAAGCAAATCAAGCATTGTTAATTTCTGAACCGTTGGGAGTTCAAGTTCCCCTGAGGTTCGAGTTTATCCTTGTCTTTTAGCTCCTAACCTGTGGTGCTATCTTTCATTTGGTTACCTCAGTTCTGGTTTTCGCTTTCGCAGATACTATACTTTAAAATAGTGGAATCAACAACTGTTCTCCGTAATGTTATTGTGAATCTCATTTCATTTTCAGAACAGGAATTTTAAGCACTTTGAGATTTGGGGAGGTTCCATTATTTTTGTAATCCTCATAACTCTAATCTTCGAATGTTAAGCAGCATGCAGAAGCACATTTCAGTGGTCTATACAGGCTTTGTCTGATGGCTGTGCATATTCATAAGCCCATATTTACAGAGTTAGACCACTGTACATACAGTGTATACTGAAGTATGGACTCCCAATTCCTTGTGGAAGCCCATATTTCTGTAACTTTGTCTCCTGTTCAAAATGTGAATATTCATTCAAGTTTTATTCCAGCTTAACAACCAGCAATGTTAAAGCTACTCTAAGAAATATTCCTATCGAAAGGCATTCGCAACCCAACTTGAGGACCATTTTGCAAATGAATTGATGGTTTTCCTGTGCCTTTTCCATAAACATCTGTTGTTCTCTGACATGCTTGAGTCGTTCTGGTAAGGAACTCAACTTTAGGTTCATAACTGAAGTTTTAAACTGTGACTTGTGCTTGTTTAGTGTTACTAGACAAACTATTTTTGTTCAGATTCAGTGGTGTTCCCGACAATGCATAGAGCAAAGTCCAGACATTTGTTTTATGTTATTTATATAATGTATATGATGGACAGTTAACTCTATGGTATATGCGATTGTATGTTATATTTAAATACATATTTTCTTCTAAGTCTCCTAGTTAAAGCAGAAAAGTGAGTTTCATTCATTCATTTGCTGACATTGTTGTTTTAATTGCAGCCTTTCTGCTATAACTTTAAAACCTAAAGCTTTTAATAAGAAAGGCTTCTGTCACAATCTTTGATTTCTGGTGATTTTTATTTGTAGAGCCATACACGTGTGACCTCAGCAAGTCGGCATCTCGGTTCAGTGGATCTGTTCATAATCTGATGCTGTTTCTTGAATTGATTTGAACAGTCTTGTCATTCTCATTCTGCATTTCCTATCATTTTAGACTTTTAACAGCCTTTTTCCTTTAATGTCCAAAAGCACATCCAGTATGATAGTGGTCTTTTATTTCTGTATGTACTGTTCTTCAGTTATTATGTTTCTGTCAGAAGGTATTATATTTAGTGTTAATACAACTGTTCCTGGATCTTGCCTAGAACAATCTGTAAAACAACTGCAAGTGTTTCCTGCTCTACACATGGACCTAACTTTGCTTTATTGATATGCAGTTTATTGTGAAATATAATGCAGCTGTGAATAAAGTTTAACCAGAAACATCTCTGTTGGATAAACATGATTTATTGTTGCCTGTTTACGTGTTGTCAAATCTACTATTTATTAAATCCAAGGGGCCATCAAAAGTGTCATCTCAACCAATTAATTTTTTTATTATTATTTACCTACAACTAAAAGCATATGTTACTAGGCCTATAATCTTAAAGCTGCAGTCTGTAACTTTTTTTGTGTTCAAAATTAACAAAATGTATATAATAAGCGAGTACACCATGAATCAATTTTCCAAACCGTGTTTTTCGCTTATCCACAATCCCTACGGTATACCTATAATAAATGTTTATATTCGGACTATTTTAGACTGGTTCGGGTAGGTACCGCTGCGGAGTAACCCAGTACCTGCGTGATTCGCCGTAGACATAAACAGAGAGAAGTAGCTCCGGCTACAATGTTCTTCCGCAAGACGCATGCAGTTCTGTTTATTAACCGCTAGAGCGCCAAAAGTTACGGACTGCAGCTTTAAGTTGAAAAAATGTCTTGTGAATAATTTAACATGTTATATTTTGTGTCCCAGTAAATGTAATACAGGAGAATGTTCAGTGGAGGTTTAAAAACTGATGCCTTTGCCCAAATCACTCCCTCTGCTCCATCCATATAAGATCTCTGCCTCACCTCCTCAAGCACTCAGATTTGTATTTTTCCTCCAACTGATACTCCTGAAAACAGCATAACCCCCAGACGTCCACTGCAACAACGGAGGAGGGTAAGCACACTTTGTTGTATTAATACTGTAAATTGAAGGTTGTGCAATATTTATTTAAGTGCAACACTGTAACGTTTTTGTTGTTTTTGCACCTACATTGAAAAACATTTGGTGTAGAATTTGCTATTTTTTCATAGATTTCACAAATAGTTAAAAAGAAACGGCAATATATATTTATTTAAATTATATGGCAATATAAGTGCTATGCATGATACACTGGAATATAAAAATACAAAGATACATATGGAGAAAACTGATGCCTTTGCCCAAATCCCTCCCTCTGCTCCATCCATATAAGATCTCTGCCTCACCTCCTCAAGCACTCAGATTTGTATTTTTCCCCCAACTGATACTCCTGAAAACAGCATAACCCCCAGACGTCCACTGCAACAACGTGAGGAGGGTAAGCAACTTTGTTGTATTAATACTGTAAATTGAAGGTTGTGCAATATTTATTTAAGTGCAACACTGTAACGTTTTTGTTGTTTTTGCACCTACATTGAAAAACATTTGGTGTAGAATTTGCTATTTTTTCATAGATTTCACAAATAGTTAAAAAGAAACGGCAATATATATTTATTTAAATTATATGGCAATATAAGTGCTATGCATGATACACTGGAATATAAAAATACAAAGATACATATGGAGAAACTGGGACTAGTCACACTTTAATGGGATAGTTTTGTTTTTGAATATTTCTGGTATAGACACATTCCTTAAAGCCTATGCTACAAAATGCTATTGAACATTTTCACTGTATCTGAAAAATAATTCAAACTTACTAAATTCTCTTACAGTGTTCTTCCTGGTTATGTAGGGCAGAGGTAGAATTCATGATCCTGATACAAATCAAGCATATTACTTTTTTTATATTGTGTATGTCTTCTAAGGGAGAAAGCCTGACCGAAGATGACTGACAATGCTGTCTTTGAGCATGATCAAATCACTGAGGAGACGGGCAGAAATGGGATGTCTGGGTCAAATATCATCGCCATGGAGCTCATGAAGAAGCAGCATGGAGCCAGTGTCAGTTTCCACAGCATCCATTATAGAGTGGAACAGAAGAGCGGACCCATCTGCAGGAGGACAACAGTCCATAAAAAGATTCTGGTGGATCTCAAGTGAGTCAATATCACACAAAGAAAAAGGTCAAATTAATAAGCCTCTTTAATAAGTCTCTTTAATCTGGTAAAGGTTCATGTTCCGTTGGGTCTCTGCAACATCATGTTTTTCAGTTAAGCTTCTGATGTTCTTATAAACCTTTTTTAGGTCATTATAGTAGTTCTATTGAAGTATTCAATAACAGAGAAAGCTTTAAAATATTCTTATTGCATCATTGGAATTTAAAAAGGTTCTCCTATGACATCATACAAACTTAACTTCTATGACAACATAAGAATTTAAAAAGATTCTCCTATGACATCAAAAGAACTTAACTTCTATGAAGACATAGGAGTTTAAAAAGGTTTTGCTATGGTAGTAGTAGTATTGTCCTCTTGAAACACTGGTCAGAAATCATTTGATTCATCGTAGCTCTTTTATTGACAACCTAGTTTATAAATAAATCCGAATCAAAAATAAATCGGAAGTTTTGTGGAGAAAAAAAAAGGCATTTCTCTTTCTTTAAATACTACTGCAAATATATTTGCCTCACAATGTGATTATCATATTTGGGGGTACTTGTCATCAAAAAAAAAAAAACTTTGTACAATGGCATCTATTGATTTTTAAAGTTCTATTACGGCCTCACAGGAATATAGAAAATTCTCCTATGCCATATGAAACATCGAAAAGCTCTCTTGTGACATCAAATTCTCCTGTGGCATGAGGCTTTATAAAACCCTTTTACCTTTACATGTGCTGCATAACATGTGTTCACCAGAACAATGGAGAGCAGAAAACCAAAATGCTGCTTCTAAAGGCATTAAATGAGCTTGACATTTCCCAGAGCCAAGTGCATAGTTTCTTTGGACATTCTCTCTATAGTGTTAGTGTCAATTATATGATATTATGAATGGCTTTGTGAGTCTAATCTCTTGGCTTGCAAATCACCAAGGTTAAATGCAGTCAAGTGTGATCTTGATCTAATAAAAGACTCTCAGCGTCACCTAGATGACTTAGTTTTAACAGTCTTATAGTTTGGTAACCATTTCAAATCTTATAAGTGTCTTGTCAGCAATGCAGTGACATTCAA